CTGGCCCTGCTCATGTCAAATCCTGAATGCACCCCTTTCTTCTTGTAATGAATTACCTTTGAGCTCACCCAACAACCTCGTGACTTCTTGGGTCTAACAGAAAACAGTTCATGATAGACACTTCTAGCTTCATAATCATTTGATGACTAATAATCATCCACGGCATACCAGGAGCTACTTTTCAAAATGTATGTAGTCTATCCTCTGGACCCTGCCACTGAACATAGTTATTTGGTGCAATTTCTGACCTCATGTGATACTTCCACTCTGTCATGCCCATTTCTCTGGGCCTTTTCATCCTTTCTCCCACCAACTGTCATGGCAGTTCATTTCTATTTCATTTTATGTGACCTATTACTTTCTCCAAGTTTTTGAGAGCCATCCTAGCAGAATATTCGCAGCATCCCAGGATGCTTGCCAGATGTCCTGTATCCCAGGAGAGAGCTCCCATATATAACTTTATATTCTACCCACTTTGATCCAGTACTCCCAGAACCCAGGCATTTACATAATGTCCTAGATCCTGTCAGCACTCGTTGGCTAGATCCTGCCATTCCTTCAAGGTATAGCACCTTTCCTCCCCCAGCAGGCCTGGCACTTCCCCAGCTGGTAGTGTTTGACTTAACCCTATTTATTAGTCTGGCTGCCAAGAGAGAGAACACGGAGGCAGATCTTCAAGGGAGGGAGACACATGTGTCTTGCAAGGCAGAGCCCTCTGCATCTTCTTTAAGCCACAGAGAAGTAGGATTAGCCTTTAACCTAGACAAGCGAGGCACTTCTGCAGGCCCAGAAGGTTTAGAGGAACTTGGAGACTTGAGATGTTTAAGTGCACCAGCTCAGGCGTCACTCTCTCTTATCTCAAGGTCCTGCCCTTTCCCCTTCAGAACCCTGGCCTCGCACAGCACACCTACCTAGGATGAGCATTCAACCCTCCCCGGAACTCCACTAATTTATGACTAAATTCTAGGCCTGATCTTTGACTTTTTCTGCCCTCTAACTATGGGAGATGAGGCTCACTTTACACCGAATCAGTGAGGCCTTCTGGTTTTCATGCCAAGTCTTTAATTGCTGGTTAATTACTGTCTTTTTCCAAAGCATTATTTGCCCTCAGCAATAGCCATCCAATGCCATTGTTCTCATAGTTACTATTTCCCCATATTTCTCAAATACCTGATACATTCACCCACTAGTACATTCCCTTCCAGTATCCCAGTTCACTACTGCTACCTTGCGCCAGGATCTATCACTGCTCCACCTACCCGTAAAGATGGCGTCCTCATTACCAGTGGGTAATAACAGGTGATCAAGCTCCAGAATCCCATCTTAGCATCACCTTTCTTAGACCATTCTTAGTACCAACTGTTTTGGTTATATTCTCTGAGAACTAGATTTTGAGTCCGAGGTTTGTGTACAGGAAATTTATTAGTGCGTGCTCTTGAGGATCACTATTTGTAGAAGGGAAATCAAAGGAAAGGAAAGAAGATTGAGCTAAGGGAGAAGTTGGGTTATGATGTAGTCACAACAACGGCCTCAGCCACCCGCACGGAGAGCTCTGAAGCTGGTTTGCACTGAGGAGTTGTTCCAAGTTGGAGTGAGGTAGACAGACGTTTACACCCCCAAAAACCAGTCTTTGGATGCAAGCTGCCCCAGCAAAGGAGTGTGACGTTCGGTGAAGAGGCTCACTTAAGCAGAGGCAATTAGCAGAGAGGGCTGCATGTGCATGTGCATGGTACAGCATAGCGACTACTGTAGAACCCAGCTCTAACTCTTATTAGCTGTACGACCTTGGGGAAGTGGTCATGCTTTCTGGGGCTTACTTTCCTGATTTATAAAATGGAAATAACAATAACGCATACCTCATAGTGTTGTCACGAAGATTAAATGAAATAATAAAGTGATGCACCTTAATACAGAGCTTGGTACATGATAAGCACCACAACTTCTTGTAATTATACGAAGCTTGGGGTTTATGGGGGAAGCTAAGACTAAACTAGAGGACACAACAGAAAGAGTTGCTAAATTGTGGGCAGGAGAAGCTTAGAAAAGATGAAGATCAAGGAAACAAAGAAGAATAGTTTCAAAGAGGACATGGTTGATAGATACATGGAGATCAGAAAGGTGCAACAGGAAGAGACAGCATCCAGGTGAGATATTAACAGGAGCAAAGGCCCAAGAAACAAACATGGCATTTACTGGGCGGTGGGGAAGCCAGCCTGGCTGCCACAGTGCTTCCTGCCCAGACTAGGAGGGGAGTGGGTTATGGAAACTTAGAAATCCAGGTAGAGGGGCCGGCCTGGTGACGCAGCGGTTAAGTTCGCACGCTCCACTTCTTGGCAGCCCGGGGTTTGCCAGTTTGGATGCCAGGTGCAGACACGGCACCGCTTGGCAAAAGCCATGCTATGGTAGGCGTCCCACATACAAAGTAGAGGAAGATGGGTACGGATGTTAGCTCAGGGCCAGCCTTCCTCAGGAAAAAGAGGAGGTTTGGCAGCAGTTAGCTCAGGGCTAATCTTCCTCAAAAAAAAAGAAAGAAATCCAGGTAGGAAAGCTACTTTGGAGACTCCAGCAGACCATAGTACAGCAGGCTCAGAAGTGGTGTGAGGGGCATCCCTGAGATACGGAACTTCTTGGAAAGAGAGGGAAAAGGAAGAAGATGGAGACAGGGAGGAGAGAATGACAAGGAGAGACAGACACAAAGGAGAGAGACATGTGGAAGAGAAAGAAGGCTGAGAACAAATTGGGATTAAAAGCCAATCCAGAGCGTGAAAGAGAAAACCAGAAATGAAGAAGAAATGTGGAGTAGAGCTTTAAGAAATGACGGTCTTTTAATTTCAGAAGCTCCAATTCAAAGTGTTACAGTGTTAGAAAAAATAATAATAATTTAGGTCTAGGTCAGCTGTGTCACTTCCTGGGAAACAATACAAACACACTTATTAAGAAGCCCAGTGTTTTGCCATATTATAATTAGTTCTGATTTAATGTCCCTTCCCAAAATGCCTACTTTTCCAACAGGTGCAATATGACACCATCTGCCCAACAAAAGAACCTAAATGTCACCAACTTCATAAGAGAATGAAATTGGCTGTTTAGGACCCTAGTTTATTAGGATGGTGTTTAATAATTTGTACTTATATAACGTGCAGAGGCATAAAATCAGTTATTAATGTTAACTTTCTAACTCACACAATCACTCCTTAGAGAGACAGGCAGCATCACCCCGCCCCCCCTTTTAAGATCCATTCATTGAACAAGCATTATTGGGCTCCTACATGCTGGGCATTGTAGGGATGCAGAAATTTGGCCACATGGAGCCGGGTTCATGCTGTTCGAGTGGCTGCTCCCCCGGCAGCAATGAGAGCCTCCCCAGAGCAGGAACCACGACTTATCCTCTCTGAAGTCCTCGGGCCCAGCACTGCACCTGGAAAAGGAGAGCCATTCTATAAATGACTGTAGATTTTTAGAAATTAAATACCCAGAATTAGCCATAAGTCTGTACTACTGTTATTAAAAACATAAACCCAGAAACTCTTGACTTCTAAGCCATTGCTGACCACTGGACCTTACTTCCTGTGGAACCCCCCCTCCCACTCCCAGTCTAGTGCTCTTCTGTCTGCTCCTTTAGACCGTAAAACATTCACTCATCCCCTGAACGCTGTGAATTATGCAGTTTCCATTGCTGTTTGCACTTATTAAGGGACAAAGCTGAGGCTAAGGCTGGGCCCCACACTAAGATTTTCCTTTTTCTTAAAGATTTTGGCTTCTATAAAGACTTTTATATTGAGCAGAAAAATAGAATTTTGGATCTAGAAATCACTCCAAGTCAATATCCTCCTGTTAGGCTGGAGTGGGTGTGGGAAAGTTCCATTTGGCAGTTCAGATTTAATAACGAAGTCCCAACTGCTATCACATGGCCAGCAGGAAACAGGAATAAATTGGACACCGGGCTTCTCTGTGACTCAGGCCTCAGGGTCGCACTGTGGGGGTGAAACCACACTCCAGCCAGATTCTTCACAGGACCCCTCTCAGAGGGTCCAAGACAAACCTGTCCTGTGCCATACCAAAATCCTAGCGAGCGGGAGAAAGAGAGAAAGTCACAAGTGTGTGCCCAAATCTTGAACCTTCTCCGCTTCCCACATCCCAACGTCGATGCCATTAAAAAGTTGAATTGCTAAGATCTAGAAGGTAATCTTCCTTCTCAGAACTAAGGCAGTGCTGGCCCAGCCCCAGTCCTGAAAGCAGACTCTCTCCCAGCCTAAGGACTGAAGCAGCACCAAAGGCCCGTTGCTCCATCCCAGGTCTGGAACATTGTCCTTGGGACAGTCACAGTGGAAGGTCTATTTTCACAAATGTCAAAAATCAGAGCCCAGACACTCATCAGGCCAGAACACACCCTAACTTAAGTTGCTGGCCGTTTCAATTACACAGGTTATAATTTCTGTTTACCTTTTGTGCCCTAACGTTGCTCAGTGAACGGTTATATAAACCTACTGCTCTCTAAAGAGCTTCAAATGATGACCCACAAAGAGCGCATCCGAAGAGGGCCGGGAAAAGTCAAAGGAAGAGGACTTGGCTCCTCTCACTCTTTGAAAAATATGTCCTGTATCACTTGGCTGAAATTTACAGGGAAAAAAAAGAATCTCAGAGTTTCTTTCTTCTGCTTTTCGGGGGAGGAGGGTGGCACAGTCTGTCTACGCCTGAGCCCACAGTTGTACATGAAAGTTAATATTTCCAGGGCCCTGCGTGGGATACCTTTCCCAGAATTCATGTTCTCAATGGGAAACTGAAATAGCGCGTGAGAGTTACCCTAAGTAGATTTAAATAATTAAATTCAAAAATTCTCAAACCACTTGCTGTTTCAAATTTATTTCTTTAATAACAACTCAGACACAGCAACAGACTGGATTAAGATTTCATTTATTCGAAATTTAAGGTATATCCAGCTCTGGGTGCTGTTTTTAAGTATTTAAGGGGAAATTTGTGCGTGGTGAAAATGAAGAGACTGCAGCATTATAAATTCATTTCCTCTATTAGAAGCAGGGCCGCGCCTGCACGCTGCAGCTGTTCCGGGAGGCAGTCCCTCGGGCTGGAGGGCGCGCCGCCCAAGCAGACGACCCTTTGTTTCCCCACGAGGGGAGATTTGCCCGGTCCCACACCCTCGGCAAGAACTATTTCCTCAGTGGCGCCAGGCAGTTGGGCAGGATCATCTGGGGTGGTTTTCATGTGGCAAAGCAAAGCATCCTCTGGGATTCCAGGGCGACTTCTGAGGATCCTTTTTCATCCGTGACCTCAAACCATGCCTCATCCCAGGCCGCAAGGATGGGAGGCCACCGCGGCCTGAGCCGAGTTCGCTGACCTCTGAAATAACCCGCCCTGATCCATTCAGCAAAGCAGAGAGCAACTCAGAAAACAGGTGTTCCGGCGCAGGTAACGCCCCCGGGTTCTTACTATTCATGCTAACAATTTTACAAACAAGCGAGTTTCTTATACATTCATCGCCACCCCCAGGCATTCATATTCTTTTTAAGTACAGAAACCTTAATTAGATTTTGACCACAGACCCGGATTTGACTTACCCTGACAGGGTTTCCATTAGTGTAATCTGTGGGGGAATTCACTGTTTTAACATCTGTGTGCCGGAGGCCTATCTCACATTTACTGCAAAACTCTGAAAAGCCTCCCTTGTATGGCTGTATGTTTCCTCATGCTCCCAATTTCACAGAAGTCATTTCAGCACCAAACGGTAATTAGCAAAGGGATGGGCCTCAGCTGACATGAATGCAATTTATTGTTTTCCACGAGGCCCTGAACCAGCAGACAAAGAACACAGTCTAGCTGTCTGGCATTTTATTAACTTGTATTGTGTAGCACACCTTACTGAAGGGAGATCTTCGAGAGGAATCCAGCAGTTCGTGTGTGGCAACACGCAGACTTTGGGAGAATATTAATTTCGGTTCAATTAGGCAAGTTTTGTGGTACCTCAGCCTGTAATATAGGACTGCCACTTTTATAATTATCTTCCATATTAACTTTATCATCACCAGACTTTTGCATAAATGCAACCTTTCATCTTTAAAATGCCAACACTTCTTCAATTTTGGCAACCGTACAGCACTGCTAATTATTTGCTCATTATGTGTGGTTAACTGATGAATCATTAATAAATGAATGAATGGCTAATATATTTTTATGGTAATTGGAGATATAACTGATTGCAGACTTCCTTAGCTTCTCAAAACGGCACTGAATGAGCAGTGGCTGCCTAATTGTTTACAGATGATATTTAGGCCCCCACCCAGCGTTTCCCACAGTTGTGGTTTATCACTGGCATATTCTCATCAGTCCAGGGTGGCGGCTCGCCGAGGACCAGTCTGGGCAGAGGGGAGTGGGCAGCAGCATGACCAGGCTTCCTTTCTTGTGTTTCTGTCACCTCATTTGTTTCAGCTCAGCTGACACGTAACCATGTATGGGCCTCATGGCCATTTGCTAGCAATTCGAAGGCTCCTCATGGACTCTATTAGCCTAGGCATTGGCAGGGCCATGGCTGTAACACTGCTGTGGTTACCCTGAGTCAAAAACACATAAAGAGTCGGATGCTGACTCACAAACACACACGCCATCAGACTGCCACTCGTCTTGCTTGGCACACCCAAAGGAACAGTGGCCAGTGGCCACCCAGCCTGGCGTCTCTGTGGTTGAGGAGCCAAAGGAGACCCTTTGCAGAGTTTGGTTGGAAGCCTGGGGTCCAGTGTGCAACACTGACAGAAGTCCAGAAACTAAAACCAACCAGAGGTCCTTCGCTCCATCACTGACCCGCTGTTCCTGGTTAATGGGTGTGGAGATAACTCCAGCATTATAAAAATTATACCCATCAGGCCGTAAATGAGCCACCACCTAGAGGTTAGAAACAAAGATTCTGTATCTGTAGACAATTCTTGTGAAAATGAAAGATAGAACACTGACCAAATAAGGCTTGTTCAGCTTCATACAAACAGACGGAAGATCAAGTTAAAAATGCAAAGGAGATTACCAATTCTTAATTATAATTATTTAACCAGGTGGGTAGTTTCTCCTAATGAACATTTCCATGAAAACAGAATAACTAATGACAGTCTTAAAGAAGCCTTTGTCTTTCCATGTACTAATGATCACATTTATAAATATGCAGCAAGGCCCCCGTGTACATAGCTAATGATAAGTAATTAAGCACCAGGCGTGGGAAGCCAGTGAAAAGGGTCATGTTAATGCAAGAGAGGAAATTAAAAATGCAATAAAATAAGTTGCCTAGAAAAGATTAAATAAACTTCTGGCTTCTCCTCCTTCCAGAAGAAAAAGAATGGTTGCCCCACTCTCACAGAAAAGCCATGTCAAGCCATTCAACAGCTGGTTATAAAGTCAGTGCAAGTGACCAGCTTGCTCTCTGCCCCATCCTCGTTTTATCCTATTGGTTTGCAGGCAGAAGGCGTGGCTTCAAAGGGCACTTTGGGTCCCTGGGAGAATAGAGGGACCCCTCAAAAAGGGAGGAGTCGGCCAGCAAGGATGGATACTTGCCACTGGCAAATTAAACTGGACTTTGGTTGTTACTGCTGACATGCCACTTGTTTGTTAACCCATGTTGACCAACCTGGATTTTTTCTCATCTTCTAGATGAAAAAGAGAGGACAAGATGGGTGCCGTTTCCAACACAGCAGAAGGCCTTCTGTCTCTCTTCACATTGTCTGCTTCCCCACCAGACTGCAAACTCCTGGAAGGTGACACCAGGACTCTGTGTTACTACACCTGGTGTCCCTCACACCTGGCACTGCACCAGACTCAGTGAGTACTTAAAAAGTGTGGGTTGAATAAGTGAATAAATGGATGTTCAAAGCAGGTCATCTCAAAACCCAGTAGCAGCTTGTCAAAGGGCCCTTGAACATCGCTCCCGCCGTCCGAACAGCCCTGCCACCAACACTTGGGCCCAGTCGAAAGACACCAGGCGTCTCTCTCTCTCTCTCACTCAGGTCCTGAGAAAGATGCCACCTCTTTCTTCACTGCACCATCACCAAAAGGAACAGAAATGGGAGGCTTTAACGAAAAACTGGGCTTGGCGAAAAATCATACAGTGGACTGTCAGACTGTTTGGGGATTGACAAGAATCCCAGCATTTCTAAGCATTAAGGACACATAGAATGAAGAAGTGGCCGTCTTGGCAAAAGAAAGGCACTAGTATGGATCTCCAAAGCTCTTAAATAGGGGCAATTTTGATTCTCTTCTTAAAGAGTCTTAGTGAAGCTCTTAAACCACTGAAGACTTTTTCTTTCAAACATTTCAAACTCGGTGGTTAATCCCTCAGTGAGAGGAATCTAACTTCCTGCGCCTGCAGCCTAGGGTTAACAAGACGGCAACCTTGAGCTGAAGAAAACAGCAGCAGCAAACGAGAATTAAACCCGGGGTGGATATTTGAGGTAGTTTTTCCTTTTTATTTTTTTTCTTAAACAAGTTCTAAGAAACAAGCCATAAGGCAGCAAATCCAGGGCCTGGCTCTTTCTGCCTTGTTTTAATACTCCTTCTGAATTCAAATGAATCATTTCCTTTTACGTAAAATCTTCAACGAGGCCACACTTCTTTTGTTATCAGAGTGTTGTCATCGGCAAGCCTGCTTGACTCTCATAGAGGCAATTTAGTACCCGACAGTCGAGCACGGCGGGTGCGGGCCTAGATTTGCCTTACAAATAAGGGCAGCCAAGGGACCCCCCAGGGAGGCCGGCGGCTCCCGGACCCCTAAGGTGCATCTTTCATCAACTTCTCAGGCGGCAGGCCCCTTGGCTTCTTCGGGAGTGCCGGGTCTCCGGATAAAGTTCAGATGCCACAGGGACGCTCTGCAAGCTTATCCTGACCCCCAGCGGCCGGCCCTGTCATCGGACGCATACCGGTCCCCACTCCCGCACCCAAGGTTCCCCAGATCCCAGGGACCCAGGCACCATTCACTTTAATTGACAATTAAAACAAACTTCTGTTCTCACAAGAATCAACTGAGTGAAATTTCGCAACTGCAAATTTCACAATTCAATTCCCTTGAAGCAAAACCAACAGTTTCCCTGAGGTTTCACTCCACACCTCTCCATTTGTTGTGGAACTTCCCCCTCCAGTTTCTCTTCCCACACACCGTTTGATTTCAGAGTCAGTCATGGAAACAGTTTACTTATGTTTCCGGGGGTCCCCGCCAAGTGGCGGCCCTGGAGCTGAGTCAGCGTTCCCGCGCAGCCGGGCGGGAATGCCGGGCGGGAATGCGGCGCAGGTTCAGAAGCAGAGCCGGCCCCGGCCCCCGGCCCGAGGTGGGTAGTGCGATGGCCGCTGCTGCGCCGGTTCGAGCTGTTGCAAGTCGTCAGCCCCCAAATCAAACAACCTGAAATAAATCTTCTGTGGCCATGAATGGAATGGAGTCAGCAAAATCTTCTGACCCTGGCTACAGGGCGCCATGGGACATATTTATACTAAAAAGATACTTGTTATTTATCTGAAATTCAAATTAATCCAGAAGTTTCCATTTTATCTGGTAACTCCATTGAGCGAAGGAAAGATTCTTTTTTCTTTTTTTCTTTGAGTGTACTTTTTCTCCCTCTCTCTCTCTCTTTTTTTTTTTTTTGGTGAGGAAGATTGGCCCTGTGCTAACATCTGTTGCCAATATCTTCCTTTTTCTTTGTTTTTTCTTCCCCAAAGCCCCAGTACATACTTGTATATGCTAGTTGTAAGTCCTTCCAGTTCTTCTATGTGGGATGCCACCACAGCACAGCTTGATGAGCCGTGTATAGGTCCACAGCCAGGATCCGAATGGACAGGGCCTCCCAAGAGGAGGGCTGGAACTTAACCACTTGGCCTTGAAGTGCCCCAGAAAGGTTCTGATTTATAGTTTTACAGATCAGCTTCTGACCAGACCCTTAGATGGTCCAGGCATCCTTAGGGGACCTGAGCGTCCCATCAGAGTTAGGCAAGAATCTTTTTAGACAGTGGGAAAATAGAAAAGACGTAATTTTTCTAGCTTCCCCCAGGCTGACGTCCCTGTGTGCTGGCCTATTTCTCAGACTTTCTGTTCTGCTTAGCCCTTCCTCCTTCCCTGTCTCCAGAGTAGGGACAGGCTCCTGTCAGCCTTCCCGAATCTGCCACAGGTGTCCTTGCTCACAGATGTTGAAACAAAAGTCACAACCAAGGTAACTATTTTTAGGGGGTGATAGATTAAATGGCAGCTGGGTCTTCAAGAGACAGGGCTACATTCTGAACTGCTATTTGTATCCACTGAAATGTAAAAAAGGTCAAAAACCCAAGTTTTGCGTTACTGTTATCTTCCATTTTTTAAAAAAAGGCTATAGCCTTAGGAATACCGTACATATCTGTTACCGACAACTCCAAACGCCACCTCTGCAAGCTTGTCAGTTAAACCAAATGTTAAACGGAAAATATTTGGCGGGATTTAAAGTTAGACCCGCGCACATTACTTACAGATGTTTCCATGAAAAACACTTGAAGCTGAACCACACCAAGTAATAAACCCTGCAATGGTGTATTTTTTATACTCCAAGTTAATTTTTATTATGTAAGTAGCCATATGAAGAAGGTATTGCATACTGCTTAAATGAAATACGCAGGAATGAAATCAGCAGTATCCCTTTACAGCATATGGCCCAGCAAATCAAATTACAAAGCTTTCCACATCTCATTAACTGCAATGAGTACAGCGAGTTTTCTAATAAGTCACATCTTTTTCATGTGAGTGGTGAGCAGTGACTTATTGTAAGAATTCACAGGATGACCCTCGTGCTGAAATTAAGAACTAACCTAAAATGGGCAGGGTCATCTGGTCAAGACTGATCATAACATTTCCTCATTATTGTTTTAGTTGGCATTGAAGCATATGTTTTCCTGGTGCCCCAGCTGAAAAATGCCTTTGATAATTTCACTGACAGCAAATAACCCACACACTGCCATTTAATGAGTTCAGGCAGGATTAGCTGACAATAAAGAATATAGTATAAATGTTTTTATTAGAACTGATTTATTTTTTAGCTGAAAAAAAAAGAAAGAAAGAGTCACGTAGAAATGCTGAGCTGACTTCTCCCCTGGCAATGGCCCTGGTGGGACGCAGGTGAAAGGCAGGAGGAGGTCGGGGAGCCCAGGGCTGGCCATGACGGTGCCTTCAGGCTGCGAATGGTAGAAGGCAAGTACCAGCTGGAACCCACACTCAGATGTCAGGTTCCTCCTTTGCACAACAAGGAAAAAAATGCTTCTACAATTGCTCATCATGTGGCCTTTGGTTGAGATGAATTACCAATTTACAACCTCTTGTGTTTGGAGAGAAGCAAACTGTGCTCTTTTGAGGCAAGAATCAGGAACCTAAAATCATTCAAGCCTTCTTGTTTATAAGGCCAGAGTGAGGCCAAAAATCCATTTCGCTCTGTGCTCTCAGGCCTTTCAATGACGAGCATCTCACCATCTGCACTAATAAATATGGACTAGGGTGTGTGTAAGCATACACTGAGGAGAGGGGAAGAGAGAACGGGTTTTAAATGGTTGCAAATTGCTCTCCTGCTGAGATAACAGCAGTCTGCATGTGAGCCTCAGTCGTCACACATTAAGAATGGGCATTTGGCTTCTTTTCACACAGCTGTGAGAGGAGGGGTAGGTTTCTGAACGACTAGAGAGAAAAGGGGTCTGTTCCTAGGGAGACAGGCTTGCTAGTGGCATCTTGCCCAGAAGCTTTTTCTTCACAGCTCCAACCACAGGGATTAGAGACATGATAAGCAGACCAGTCCCGGGGAGCTGGGAACAAACAGGTCATTGGCAGTGGTGAGAGGAGCCCTGAGCTGGGGGCCTTAAGTCCCAAGGTTCAGCAGAGGCCAAAGGGATCAAATGGAGGCAAGGCCAGAAGGTTGATGCAGCCCAGCAAGTCAGGAAGTGATCGTTGAGGTCAAGATGAGTTGCCTAGGAGGATCTGAAGGCTTGAGACTGGCCGTTAGGCACAAGTGGTCATGGGAAATCTGTCTTGGGAAGATACAAAAATAGCGTTAAGAAGGCGGTGTTGGTTAGCAGGGCCCAGCAATGTGTGTAGCAGAGGAAAAGCAGCCAGGAATAACTGAGACTCAGAGGTCTCCCCCAAGACAGAAGGAAATGGCTCTCTGTTCTCAGTATAATGTAATATGCAACTGGGGGGGGGGGGCGGGGTTTGAAGGGACTACTCTGCCCTATGAAGGAGTCTCAGGAGCAGAAGAGCAGCCACACAGAGGAGCGCCCCGTACGACAGAAAGTGCATCTAGTAAATGCTAAGGAACATGAGAAGAACTTTCGGTCCAAACACTTCTCAATACGTCCTCCAACAGGACGCAGCCTGCCCCGGGATGGGCATAGGAAACCCAGGTCACCTACCTCCTCTCTGAGGCGATGAAAATGTGAGGGGAGAGGGCCGTGGGAAGGAGGGCCGGGTCTGAAGCAGCACATCCAAGGGAGAGATGGAGAGAAGAAACTGAAATCAAAGTAAAGGGTCAGCCACTGAGCCAGGCAAGGCACTGGGACCAGGTTTGGAAGACAGAGGCCGGAAAGATCACTGAGGAGGAGAGACTCTTTAGAAGCACCTGTGGCTGAGCCCGTGGGAGGAGAAGGAACCATCTTCTCCTCGCCAAGCCTTCAGGAACACCCAAGACAAAATGCTAGGGGGAGGGGGAGAGGATTAAATATAATCCCCTGGTATAAAATACAATCCTTCCCACCCAATCCCTGGAGAGAAGGAATTAGCAGTTCCCACCCAAAGCAACTGTTCAGGAAGATTGTACATGGTTCACCTGTAGTGTTGTGCCAGGTCCTCAAAATGAAACCCGTGTAAGAGCCTTTATCATCTAATTTCACCCTTCAGTTGTAATTGAACCTGCTAAGCCTTCAGGTACATCAACCCTGGCTACTTAACTGGAACCTAGACAAGGATAATCCCTGAGTATTGCTAGGTAACCACAGCAAACTAACTAATATTTGCACAACTTTACGGTGTACAAAGTGTCGTCATAACGTTTCTCATTCGCCCCTCATTACTATGCTGTGAAGAAGGCAATTTAGCTGTAGCTAGGATGTGCAAGAGGCAGATCTCAAACCTAAGTCTTCAGATTCCAAGCTGGTGTAATTTTCATTACAGCGGATAGCTTTTATGTACTATCCAGATGACACTAAAATGCCCTGACGTTCTGAGGAAATATCCATGTTCTACTCTTGAGAGAACGCACTCAGGGCTCGAGGCAAAGCTCTTCAGGAGAGACCATCCTCTCCTAACCTCCCTCAGAAGATGTCTCTATCTAAAGTGTGTGTGATGGGCCTTCTGCCTTTATTCTTCCCCGACTAGTACAGACAGAACAGTGTTGCCAAGATGACATTCCTAAGACAGATGACTTCTAGGACCCCCCACCCCACCACCCCTTGGTAGCTGCTCATTGACTGTGCTTGGAATCAGAGCCATAGTTGCTTTTGTGGCAAAAGAAGAACATGAGAAAAAAGTCATGTACAGACCTGAATGACTGACAAAAGGACCCTAATAAGTAAACCAGCATGGCATGGAGAGCAGCTTCCACCAGGGGAGCAGCTAGCCCAAAGGGACTCGAGCTACAAGGAGTGTCCTCCATACACACCTTTGCCTCCCCTCCCCACCATTTCTCCCTCTTTTTTCCATCTCTACTATAGATGATGCTGAGGATAGAGTCACGTCTGAAAGGAAATAGGAAACTCTCCCTTCTCTCCACATTCTTGGTCCCCAACTCCAGCAGGTGAGCGGGGGCCCAACTTGAAAAGGGTTCCTGAAGAAATAAAGGTTCCAGATGAGTGGTAAAGGTTGGCTGTGCAAATAACTTATAAAAATTCTGCTTTACAGGCCTCATCCTCTACCATGGTTTCCTGAACTTGGTATTAGACACTCCCCATCCATTTACCCAAAGCAACCAAGCATAGTACAGAAAGTCCAAGGTACACTTACATAGATAATTGACACAAGGCATGAGCCAGATGTTAATGAATGAGAAAGAGGGTTAAACCTAGGAAAACATTCCTCCTATTGTTCTTTCTCTTCTTTCCCAAACCTCCCAAATGCTACCATTTGGCTCTGCACTCTTTCCTACAGCTCTCCTTTGTTCCAGCCAACAATGGCTTCTGGCAGTCCCACCATTCTTCATCATGTCACCTCCAAGCTCCCACCCAAGATACCCCCAGGTACTGGGAGCATCTCCTTCATGTTTCTGTGCTCCTTTCCTGTCTGCCTCTGAAGCTCCTCTCAGTGACTCCAGGAAGACTCCCTGGCACTGGATTCCCAAGCCTGCAGCTCACCAAAGCACCTGACACATACATTAAGTATTGAAAAATTCAACAATCACTTACAGCTTAAGATTCATATAATCTTATGGGCTGGAAGGGACATTTGAATCACAGAATTTGTCAGTTTTCAAATATTTCTCTAGCTTGTAACAACTTTCATTTGTAACATGAGGGTTCTGGGCCTTCATTTTTAGTGTTCTAGAAGTCTACAGCTTGCTTGAGGTCACACAGCTAGAGTGTACTTAAATCTGGCCAGAGCTACAGCTGCTCCCCTTGAGTCCACACTCTCCACTCCATTGCCCTGTGTGTGCACGCACAAGCATGAGCCAACTTACCAGCTTCCGCTCCCCTCTCTTAAAATGCTAACTAATTTGAAACCAAGGAGCAATTCTTATCTTTTATATCCTTAAATACTTAGTGCATCATTGGCTACTGAGTTGTGTCTCCTTCAAAGCCAACACTCTATGTTGTCCACCTCTATATCCACCCACCAGCAACCACCACCCCTCCTTGGAGGTTTTACATGTTGAAGATGTCTGATAAATGCCTTTGAATGAGCAAATGAATGAAAGGCCTCCCATTATGGGTTATCTCAGTGAGTACTGCTCACCAGTTGATTGGTATGGGACTCCCCAACTCCCCAGCTTGGTTTACCCTCCAGATGTGCTCTCCTCTGGTCTTGACTCCACTGTTAAATAGCTGTGTCTGTCAGCAATTATGTGACCTTGATGCATCTCCATTTCTTCATCTGTAAAATGGGGATAAAATAGTACTTGCTATCAAGATTGAATGAGAGAATCTATAAAAAGCACTGAGAACAGTGCCTAGCAATACAAAGCAAAATGCTCAATAAATATTAGCTTTTGTTATTTTATACTTTACCTAGCATAACCCTCAACACACATCACTGTGATTCTTGTTTAATTTGTTGACTGTCCAAAATGATTGTAAGCCCATGTCTCTCTTGGTCTTATCCCCAGTATGGTGGTCTGGCAGGTGGTAGGTGGTCAATATATGTCTGAAAGCAGAGGCCGCCCCCATGGCCTACTGGTTAAGTTTGGTGCACTCCGCTTTGGTGACCCAGGTTCAGTTCCTGGGTGTGGACCTACACCATTTGTTGGTAGCCACGCTGTGGCAGTGACCCACATATAAAATAGAGGAAGACTGGCAACAGATGTTAGTTCAGGGTAAATCTTTGTCAGAAAAAGAAAAGTCTGAATGCATCCATGCAAGGATGGCAATAGTTTATGGCTGACAGAAATCTCCACAACCTTTGGATACTATAAATGATAGTTTTGACTCACGTTCCCATGCCGTGTAAGAAGCAGATGGAGGACGCTACGGCAAAGTGGTTAAGACCACAGTTGGCAAAGCCAGAGAGGATGGATTTGAATCCTGGCTCAACCACTTACCAGAGTTATGACCTTACGTTACTTAACTTCCATGCTTCTATTTCCTCACCTTTAAAATGGGAATAATAATATAGTACCTACCTAAGAGGGTTTTAATGAAGAGTGAATTAGTTAATGTTTGAAAAGTCCTTAGCATTATGTAAATGTAAGCTACTATCATCATCATCATCACCACCATTATTGTCACTTACGAGTTAAGGATATGAAGGACACCAAGAAGACCTGAGAGTGACAACAGATGTATGGCATTGTGCTTGTAGGAAAACAGGTTGCTGCAAAGACAGAGAATCTGTTGGAAGGCTGGAAGCCAGTGCTCAGACTAAGCTTGATGCTCTGCCGTGACAATTTAGCTGTCATTCATATCCTGTTGGAATATTTTAGGTTCACGCAGTCAGGGCCACACTTGAGGGTAGGGGGTAATGGGAGGGTTTTCAGAAGAGGGTCTGATTTGCAAAATGCAAATTCTGCCTTGCCCAGCAGCTCCCACAACAAACCCTGCGCTCCAGTTAGGTGGAAACACATCTGTGGCCCAGCACCACTCCTCAAGTCCTGCTGTGGCTGGGACCACTCTCTCCTCCTCACCAGCCCCTCCTGATGCAGATTTTTTCATCACGCTCCAGTTCAAGGACCCTCCAGAAACCTAGCATGGCCGTTCTCTCCTTCACTGCTGTGTCTCCAAAGCCGTCAGGCCTTGGAGAAACCCAGCTGCCAAGACAAGAGCCATCCCTTCCCTGGGCCTCACCATCACTGGACTGCAGGTCACCAGGGATGTCCAAGAGGGCAGAAACCAGGCCTCTCCCAGGGTTCCCACCACCTCCAGCAGGAAGCAGAGGGAGCAGCTTCACCAGCTGAGTGAGGAGGCCAGCAGGATTCAGCTCAGGGAAGATGTGGGGCACTCCGTAGTTTCAGGAAACTTCAGGAAAAGGAATCTTAGGTCTCAGAGCAATTAAAGAGCAGGAATGGGATTGGAGCAAGGAATGAGCAGAGCCTGGCCTGTTCTGTTTCTTACTCTATTTCGCCATAATGGCTTCCCCCACCCCCACAGCCCATAGCAGTAAGGTGATTTGAAGCTCATCACAGTTAGCCACAGATTGACATTAAAACTATTCATGATTAGCCATCTCACCGCTGTCTACCTACCTCAAGATTAGATGATGCTGCCACTATCTTACAATTCTCTTATAAAATCAAAAATCTCTCCATGAATGGAATTTATCTCACCAGTTGTGAATATGCACCGTGGTTTATTATCTTAGAGTTCTTTATTCTAGTATTTGCTTAAGCTACTTATCTAATTTATTACACACATTAGTTTTACATTGCAAATCCTATGTTAGGTGTAGAAAGAAAGTCCAATAGAATCTGGCATGGTTCCATTGGAATCAGTACCTTATCTGTTGCATCTATTGCATATCATGACCTTTTGATGTTTAATAGCCAACTCCTCCCCCTTACACATACACACAAACTAAGATGAGTCTCTGAAGGTACATCATGAATGGGTCAAATTTGCTCAAGAGTCATGGCTCTTACATGATATTACTATTAAACATTGGCATGTCTATTTAAGTAGTTTTAACAAGATGTTAATAAATGAATATTATTTCCTTGGGATAGCCAAATCACATCATGACTGCAACATGAATGCAGAAGTTAAAGAATTTGGTATCGGGAAGGGTCTCAGAAAGGACCCAGAACATGGTCTGTTAGGTTTCTTCCTCGATAGAGCAGTGTGGAAAATTTCACTCCTCACTCATCTAGTCATTGGCTCAATACCTGACCCTGGTGAGCAGATTCCGTCCATGTACCATACAATTAAAAAGAAAAATTTAAAGGAGATGACGTCTCTCTTTAAATTGGCCACGCAATGATGTAAAGGATGAAATTAAAATCCCTCGGGACCTTCCCATGAGCAGTATCATGCTCTTTGGAGAGAAAGGGAAGGGAAGGGTGGACATCTATGTGTGGGAATGTGCTGGGTTTGCGGCACAGCTCCTCTGGAATACAAGACAGGCACGAACCTCTTGAAGCCGGTTGGAGTCCAAGGTAAGCTGCTTCACAAACACTCAGCCAATAATAAAATGTTTTGAAAAGCACTTAAGCTTAATGGGTTGAGGTGTTAACTCAGTAGAAGCTTCTGTTACCATGGAGAGGGACTGTGCAAGAACAGAGCAACGCCACAGGACTGGAAAGGGAACGCCATCAGGAAGAGTCATGCCTCACACAGCAAACACACAACAAGGAGGCCTCCTGTACACAATGAATGGGCCCAGAATAATGGTGATGTTCCCAAGGGAGGTTCAGTCAGTACCAGAATAGTCTTCAGATCCCTTGATCAGGCTTCTTGATTCACCACTCTCCCCAGGCCTAACACAGACCAGACTTTCCAGAACCAACCCCTATACTTCTCATTCTTCCAACCTCCTCTTGGCCATTAGCTCAGAAGCCAAGGACCATGCCAAGACATCCTGGAGTGTGTAGACTGGTGTGTGCCTACTGGGATATCACAGGTTTTCATGTTACATTCCCCTAGAATCTCTGACACAAAGCAGGCCATAGAGACATCATCAGGCCCAGGAAGTTCTCCTGCGAGAAGGGTGATTTAGTTCTCCATGACTACTCAGTGATTAGTCTTTTATAATGTTGTTTCCTATCAAATAAAGCATTGCCTTTAAAAGGATTTCAGTTTCCAAACTTCCTGTAATTGCATCATACCCTGAATGCTCATGTCCTAGCACCTGTGCCATCTGGCAGCCATTCCAGTTCAGGGGCTGTGCAGCAAGGGAGAAAACTGGTTCATCCTAAGACCGTTCGACACCTGCCTTCCTGACGGTCTTCTATGGTGCAAGACCTTGGGAGGGGCTGAGTCATCAGCCAGTTCAGTGCCCTCTTGACCCATACTGTTGAGTCATCTGAGCAGTATTCAGAATCATTGCTGCTGGCTCAGCAACAATTTAATACTTTGAAATTTATCCTTCATCAGGAGTATCCAGGATCCCAGTCTGAGATTTATAACGTTCTTTGAAACAGACAATATTTTTTCTAATGAAAGAAGAAAACAACATAATTATTTATCTACAGAATGGGCAAAGCTCTGCCAAACCAGGTGGAAACGATGAGCTCTAGAGTTTGATTTTTCTGATTA